GTGTCTACAATCTCATACATGCCTCTTATGGTTGTAAAACACCCAACTATTTATGATGAACCATTTTAGGAAGTTGTACCTACTTCTCCTGTAAGAATGCCTTTTGTTTGACGCAGTACTTGTGTCTGTCTTACATGGTCGTTTTGTTGATTATGAAATGTTTTTACTTAAGCATAAAATCTTTCTTATTTCTATCATTTTTACTCTACATCGCAGAGTTACAAGATTGCCACACAAACTGAGTTGCAACCTGCCACAACAGAAGAATCGAATACCCTTGACAGAATGCATGCTTGGGATCTTGTTCCTCTTCTTAAAAATCGAAGGGCCATTCATGCTTGTGGGTGTTTAAAATAACAACTAATGCTGATGGTAGCATCAAGCACTAAAAGGCATGACTCGTAGCTAAAGGTTTTAATCAACAATTTGGGAGTGATTTTGTTGAAAGCTCTGCTCCTGTTGCATACATGAGTACATTTTTCACCCTACTTTCTATGGTTGTTGTCTGCCAATGGTCTCTATATCAACTCGATGTCAAAAATGCATGCCTTAATGATAATCTTTCTGAAAATGTTCATATGAAGTTACCTCCTCGGATTTCTGATCATAACAATAGAGTGTTGACTATAATGAACACTCTATGGGCTTAAACAATCTTATCGCGATTGGTTTAAAAAAAATAATCTATTGTTTTCACAGATTTTGGAGAGAGTCATCATGACCATGCCATGTTTGTCTCAGTTACATTTAGAAGATGTGCAATTTTCCTACTCTATGTTCATGATATGATTATTTTTGTTGATGATGAGGGCACCATTTACTTAATTAAATAGTAACTTAGCCAGATTTTAGAGATGAAGGATTTGAGATTAAAATAGTTTTTGGACCTAGAAGTTGCTTATTCTCCTCGCGGGTATTTGCTCTTTTAACTCAAGTATGCCAAAGGTATTGTTTCTCTTGTTCGTCTAGCTAATAATACAAAGTTTGTTGAAACACCTACTGAGTTGAATGCCAAACTTTGTTCTATAGATGGTGAGCTCTTTTCGGATCCTATATTTTGTAGACAACTTGTTGGAAGCTTAACTTATTTGACCATCTCTTAGCCAGACATTACATGTGTTGTTCATCTTGTCTGCTGGTAGCAATATCACTTACTATTCGTTATATTTAAGACACACTTGATCATGCTCTATTGTTCTCTTTGTCTTCCACTCTTGAGCTTTGGGTTTACACTGACTCTGGTTTTGCAAGGGCTACTTCCAACTGTAAGTCTACTGTAGTTTTTTATAGTTTTCTTGGTGCTCCTTTCTTTATTGGAAGAGCAAGAAACGAAAATATATTGCTCAGTCCGCAGTTGAAGTTGAGTATCATGCCATGGATCTGACAACGACTGAGATTGCTTGGCTTCGATGGTCATTAGTTGACTTTGGTGTGGAGCTTTCTGCACCTACTCCCTTAAAATTGCGATAACAAAATTGCGACTTATATTACTAAAAACCTGGAGTTCCATAAGCGCACTAAGTAGATGGTAATTTTATTCAACATGAATATTTAGCCAAGACAATCTCTCTTCAATACATCTCATCTTCGTATAACTTGTTGACTTCCGATGGTGCTTCTCCTTTCTCAAGCCTTGTTTCTAAACTCATAATATTTAGCTTTTGACTATTACGAGTTTGAGAGGCAGTCCGAAGTTGTGTATTATTTCCTTCCTTTATTTACTAGAGATGATGGCCTTTCCTGGATCATGCACGTTGTATTATGATTCTTTTTTTGCTTTTTGTATATCATACATGTTGTACAATGCTGTATAATGTAACTACCTTGTATTGGAATTTCTCTTACAAGTTGAATGCAAGAAAAACATACATTTATCATGTGGCTTGTCTCCAAAAACATGCTATGGTATTGCGTTGGATAACTCTAATTTGTGTATCGATTATCCACGCTAACAAACAGAAATTCGCTATCTGACATCTCATCTTGGATTTTGAGTAGGGGATGAGCTCCACATGATGTGCTCACGAGCATGGGAGATATATAGTCATGAGTTTCACACCATCCAATCTAATAGTTTAGGTAGTGATGTAAGATGGCAGGACCACCAATGGAGTCTTTGCATGTTGTAGATGATTCCACCATCGCTATCCAACCTATTCGTTGGGTGGTGATGAACCTGATAACTAGACATACCTTTTGCTCATGAGAATTAGATGTATTCATTGTCTTCTTCTTTTCTTTTCTTCTTCTTCGTTTTTTTTTTTCTTTTTTTTTTTTTTTTTTTTTTTTTTTTTTTTTTTTTTTTTTTGGGGATAATTAGGTGCTCACGAACGAACTTGAGATGTAGTGTTAATAACGTCAACTCCTAACTATTCAAGCCCAAACCTGATTGCTTCTCTTAAGAAAACCGGATCATTTTTTCTTGAACTACTTTTAAAATCACCAAACTGCTTCCATCAAGCTTAGGAGTCCTAGCTTCAAAATGTAATCCGGTCTGCCTTTGTACTGGATAACACTAGGCGAGCATCGTTTGAAATTTCTACCTCATTCTAAGGAGCGAATTACAAGGGATACCTTTGTTTGTTAAAAAATCAATAAAAAACTAAGAACAAATACGATATCCATGCACTCTAAATTAATTGTTGCCACTTCTCCATTTGTGGTGGCAACATTGAGGTCGCACCATACTTTAGCAGGAATACGGGTGGAGCATCGGTGGTTGGGGGGCGAAGTCTCAAAAGATAACATCTTACCCTCCATTCCCACCGTTAAAAAGTCAAAAGAAAAATAAAGAAGAAAAAATGCACCATTTTTTTTCTTCCAGTGATAAGATTCTCCTATAGTTTGTTTGTTGCAGTGATAAGATTCTCCTATAGTGTGACTAAATCAGTGGGTTGCCAATATTCAAGGGTTCAATTTCAGGATTAGAACCCTACTTATTGGCAAAGGGTCACCATTAACAAGGTTTAGCTAAATGTGATAAAAGAAAAGAGAATCTTTGAATAATCAAATTAGAGCCCACCTTCAAATAATGTCGAGAAATGTAGTTTCAATACTGAAACTTTGTGATAGTATTAAAACATATTTTCATCTTTAATTATAAAATTCAAATATTAAAAAATAGTGTATATCGAGCAGATCTTAAAAATTGATGATCCAAAAATACGTTACAATATGCGCTATTTCCAAAACTTGACATCCAGATTTTTCTCGTGTCCATGCATTTTGACATCGAGATGATCAATTTGAGGATATTTGGGCATCAAAACAACCTCTTCTAGTGAAATTTTTTTATGTGGGCTCTAATTTGATTATTTCGAGCCTAGGCTCTAGATGAACTTGTTTCAAAGGAAAAATATCAGTTAAAAAAACAAATTACATCACAAAGTCATTTAAAGTGTTAAATTATCTTATTTAACAATAGGATTATTGCTTTATAAGTTTCATTTCACTTAAGTACCTCTTTAAAAATTATAATAAAGAATATCAAATTTCACTCGTTCAAGATGGAGGACATTGAACAAATAAAGTTGCCTACCCTTTAGAATAGCCATTAGCTATAACTAGTTTTAGTTATGTTATTGGTTTTATAACTCTTCAGCTCTAACTAAAGAGTTATGAAACACCCCCCTTATCATGGCAACACGCTTTTCTACTGTTGCATATACGTCCCAGAGGTAGTAGCTTGCTATGTGGGTTACAATTTGGATTCCTCCCATACGGTTTTTATGCCCCAATAGGTGTTCTACAAAATAGATACCTCAATCCAACACACCGCGGATATTGGGGTTCCGGATTGATCTACTTGGTCAATTCATGAGTAGGTTGCCTACTTAACTAAACCAAGGTACAATGTAAATTGGGCGGTTTTAGCTTCCTCTGCCTTTGCTGATTGACCGGCATAGTTTGAGGATCGACTAAATCAAAGCGACGATAGGGGTACGACTCCATTAAGAGCTCTGCTCAAGTTTGGTTTATTGGTTATTTGGGTTATTTAGTCCCACTTGAACGGCTTGAGAAAATGACAAATGCTACTCGTTATTTAGAGTAAGCAACATGAAACAATGGTTTACAATGCGATAAAAGAATGCTCTGTGTAGCTAACCTCGAACAATTGGTGATATTTACATTACCTGGCAATTTTAAACTACTAGCTTGGAACATTCAGGGGTATTTTTTTGTCAGTTGGCTCAGGAAACTTAAGTAGGGCTAAGTTACCAAAACACCCTTACTTGTTTAAGGATCCCAATCTAAAATACAGCAATTTGGTTTTTTTTATTATATTTCTTAAAGAAATACATAAAAGAAGTGAAACATAAAGACTTTAACACTTTTAATGTAAAAGAAGATGATTTGATACCTTTAATGATTTTGTAAAATGATTTGTTTTTGTAGCAAAAACCCTTTAATTGATATTTCTGCAAAATATATTTCACCTCTATATGCAAAAATAATAGACCTTGCTTCTGGTTATTATGGTGATTATGAACCATGTAAGTGTGCCTCCTTTTATGATTCCCACAAAGGAGGTGAGGAAAAGGTTGGGACCCGGAGTAACATCTAGGCATTAAAGAGAAACTACAATGTTACATTGTTTATTCGCACTACGTAAATTTGTATTCAATAACAAGCATCAAGAATTGTCAGATGCATACAAGCAAGTAGAATGACACAAGTACCATATGTGAGACATAATATTAGAGTTCTCAAATAAACTATACATTTTCATGATATATTTGGAGGTAACTTGAACATTATGCTCGTAAGTATTATATAGAAAATAGGGGGATGGGTAGGAGCATCGATGGTTGGAGGGGGAGGAGGCGTAAGTATTATATAGAAAATAGGGGGATGGGTAGGAGCATCGATGGTTGGGGGGGGAGGGGGCAGGCAGATGCCTCAACATACCTCCATTTTCATCTTTAACATACCAACAAAAACAGAGAAAGGAATCATACAGAAAATATAAAACATCATAAAAAAAGGAATCACATAGAAAATATAGGACATTCTTCCCCTTCAAACTTCCAAGCCACCACCCTTTACAATGATTTTAGTGAACAGAAATGTAATACATTGACATTTGACATACTATGATGCTGAGAACAGGATGAAAAAAAGGATATCTAAAGCAATGCTTAACAGGAATGGCTTCATGAGCATGACTCGTTCAAAATTACTCAAGAGAAGATGAAAGAAAATTCCCTTGATTCAGATTGCTATAAGAACTCTTAACAGTCTCAGGGCTTAGCAACTCAAGAACTCTTCCCATATGAATTTTAATGCTTCCTGAAGTTTCTCCACCGCGACCTTATTGCCATCCAGCATTTGATCCTGTAACATAATCAACCAATGTCAAAAGGAATAAAGAAAATTAAATCCAACAACCTAAAATAAACCGATTTGAAGCAGCAGGAACCAAAACAAAAAAAAGAGAAAAATAAAAAAACACCCACGCACAATCTAATGCAGAAGGGTTAAATGGAAATTTTCAACAAAAATCATTTCAAAAAACTCAGAGACACACACACACAATCTCTTGAAGCATGTGGAAGAGGGTTTCTGGTTAGCAGATCCTCAATGATTTTCTGAAAGTTCATAAAATTTTTATATATGCATGTTGATTTTCTTATGTGCATGTTGATTACAAATAAAAAGGATTTCATGATGTTTCCAACACACCTTCCTCTGATGTATAAACCTTGGAAATAAATATACCCATGAGGACAATACAATACAAGCCAATATGGTAATGTCTAGACAACAGACAACAACAATTATTTTCCAATAGAACCCAATAAGTCGAACAAAATTATGCAAAACACTAAATATTAGTCATCAATAAAAGAAAAAGAGAAGGACACCATCAAGAGTCTGGTTATCTCTTGCATTTCGAGATTGACTTCCCAAGAGACTTGTCCAGTTGAGTGTTTGTCATAATTTCGATATACATGTCTCAGCTTTAGCTTCATTGTTTGTCCCTGGAAGTACTTTGATTCTGTATGCCATACTCCTCTAATAGAAAACCTATCTCCAGTTCCCTCTTTCTTTAGAGGCCACCTCAGTTTTCCCTTAACATTTGGATCAATAACTGCAGAGTTCACCAGTTCATATATTCCGAATATTTCCTCCTCCTGAAACCATACATTGGTACAAATATAGATGAGCGAAGTCCAAGCTCCATGGAACACCTCCCCACTCTGCGTTTGTTCAGTAAAACTCACAGTCAGTTCTGTGGAAATCTTCTTGAATGCCAAAATCAACTGTAGGTCCACATTCTTACCAAGGCATGATATGTCAACCACCAAGTGTCGTAGCGGGTTTGTCTCAATCTGTAAAATGGAAAGGCAAGTAGTGAGAAGCTCAAAATTCATCTCACATTTCTTTTGATGATATGATACTTCATATTATAAATGGACAAGCATTTCACATAATAAGAGTTAAGATTTAGTTCAATAAATTAAACTTCACTTTGCTGGCTTAAAGTTTTCAGATCCCATCCACACTACAAGATCGTGACCTCTACCATCAACTACGGTATATTGGCAGTAATTTCTGGAAGAGTCAGTATTTGTTCGATAGGTTGGTGATTATTTGGAGTAACTGCATAATTTCTGAGAAAACGTTCATGTGTGGCACTATACTGATGTAAGGTAGCAGGTCCTTCACCTTTTGTAGTTCAAGCACACTGCCACTGAGTCTTTTAGTACATTTACATGTAAGATTCGCATGACCTTGCATTTTGTCATATATCTGTCAGACAAAATTGATGCAAATGAGTTTTAAGAAGAAGACATCAATAAACAACATTTGATGTTACAAGCTCAAATTTCTTAAAAACAGCATCGAGAGGGAGTCATTAAGCCAGATAAGGACCTTCAAATAGTATTTCTCCTTAATTGTACCACATAGCAGTCCTAGTTTTGGGATGGCCTGACATTCAATTGCTTTCACATATTCCTCAGGAACATTTCCATAGAATGTCTTATGGACTTTATTGCTTTCACCCTCACCTTCTAAACTCTTTCTGATCATGTCCAGGTTTATAGAATTGTTCCAACTTGAAGTGCCTCTGCATACACATCGATTAATAACAAAACATCAAAGAGATAATACATTGATATCAATACACAATACACTATGCTTTGGAAGTCAATGCCACAGCAAATTTTTGCAATTTGATAGTTCAAAGCATATTGGACACAATTTGATTGTTCACTGCATGTCTCACTCTGATACTGCTCTATGGAGGATAACATATGGGGAGCAATAAGTGTGCATGAAATAAGAAAGGAAAAGTATAGAATGAGACTCAAGGTGGTCACAATTAATCTTTGGATGTGAAATTGGGTGGCTGCATGTATTCCATTGACCAAACTCAAATATCAAAAGAATTTTTCTTGAACTTTGTGACACCCAAGCTGTCAAATTTCACATTGGCTGGTTGTAAGTAAATTCCCAACAATTTAATGACTATTGTCTTACTAGCTTTTATCTGAAATTCCATGCAAATGGTCCTCAAAAAAAACAAAAAGGATTTTAAATGAATCTGTTTTTGCAAATTATGAACATTGATATATTTCAACAGCTAAGGTTCATAGATATTAGCATCATGTTAAAACTTGAAAGCAGCATGCACATTTTGTTGAAAACTTAAAACCCAGGTCACAAAAATGAACTCAGCATGTGTATCTCTTAGGAAATATAAGCATATAAAATCTTTGATGTGAGAGAATATGTATTTAACTTTAAGCACCTGTTCTTGTTACCAAAAGTTTCAGAACTTCAGTACATAAATAATTTGGGTTTAAGACCCTAATACAATACAACTTCCTGGCTTCAAATATTGATTAAGGACTTGAAAAAAATTGGTTATAGAGCACGATAATAGAATATGAACACAAAAATTTGATTCTCATTCAAGAATCCCATGCAAGTAAATCTTGTCCTTTTATTTCATCATTAACAAATAAAACAAAACTAATTTCGGATTTCAAAAACCCTAATTAGACTCACTTTTTACTAGATGCAGAGGAGCCAAATCACATGGCAATATCCATGCCTCTTAATGGAAGGTTGCTTGTGGGAAGGACTAATTACATGTTCAACTTCATTGTGAAAATTATTATCCACTCTTGCAATCAGGAGAAATGCGGCCAATTTCACTTGAAAAATGAGAACTTGAGTTTGGAAACATCTTGTCTAGAATTCATACCACAAAAGCCAAAATAATTGATTTCTCTTGCTTTCCGAGTTGTGAATCCTTATCTCTTTAGCCAAACTTTCAAATAAATCATCACCTAAATGAGGAGTCCACCTAAATGAAGACAAGATCCCCTAACAAGTTGAGATTTGAGCACATTCCCAATCAGAAATGCACAATGCATTGTATTTTTTGACTGCCACGTGATAGTTGATGTGTTCCTGGGGATACAACATTCCATCATTATAGGGTCACTCCACATTAATTCCTCATGGCAAAGAAGTTTTAACAGTCAAATCTTCCCAGATAAAGCTTGTTCTCCAACTCTTCCTGGTTGGAGAAAGGATAGAGAAGTCAACCATGTCCTTACCAATGATAAATCTAGTTAAATTGGTTTCAATAAAGAAATCAACTGAATTCAAAATCTATCTCACTATTTTGGCATTTCTTGAAATCCAAGCATTGGATTCCTTATTGTTGTCGTTTTAACGAACAGCCATCTACATAATTCCATAGATTTGAAGCTATCAGAAAACTTTTGACATGGAAAACCTGCGAAGCATAGTTTTTGCCATCCATTCTCACCAAAATGTCGATCTTAGTAACCATAGGAGTGTTAGAAGTCATAACTAGATTTTTATGAATAAACCGGCCCATTGAAACACATACACATATTTGTAAATTCATGTATATATTTGTTATGCACATGCATATGGATGTACACACATATATGTGGGTCTGTAACTATGGGAAAGTCATGGCCTATAAAGTTTTAAGAAGGATAATTATATGTATTAAATACCATCTTGAGTACATGTAGGATATGGAGGAGGCTAAAATGACTGAGTTGCCCAAACAAAAACAACAAAAGACACTAGAAAGAAATTAGACAAGTCTCATATCTTTAACACTCCCCTTAAGCTCACATGATAACGTAGAAAGGTTGTTCTATCTTGAGTAAACTTCTTCTTAGTAAGTTGGTCATAATGCGGCTCTTTTGATTAGATTCAGCACACTCCCCTTAAGCTGACTTGATAACATAGGTTGTTCTATCTTGAGTAAACTTCTTCTTAGTGAGTTGGCCATAATGTGGCTATTTTGATTAGATTCAACACATGAATCACCTTGATCCATAATGCCGACATTCTTCCTGTACGTAATGATGATCTACGTTCAAAGTCCTTCCCATCTTTCAGTGGATTATCTAACAATTTAATTGCACTCTAATTGTCACAGTACGTCTTTATAGGACCTCTAAAGGGAACTCCAATTTCAAAGAGTATGTTGGATAACTACGAGGTTTATGACTGATATTGCCCTATATCCAGTGTCTGTGCCCGACTTAGACATAGTTACCAAATTCTTTCCCAAGAATACACAAAAACTGATGACCAGCCTTGCATTATTTGGAAAACCAGCCCAATCAACATCTGTGTAACCCATGAGTTTAGGTTTCTCTTGATATACATATTGAAGGCCAATATTGACTAACCTCTTAATATACAATAAAATTCTTTTGGCCATATCAAGATGTGGCTTCGATGTCTTTTATGTGTGCTGCCAGACTGTGTTTACTTCAAGTGCTATATCTGGTATTGTAAAAGGCAAATATTCACTGAGTTATTCCTTCATTATCCTTTCCAGTAATGATCATATAATCAACATATAGAGGTGTGAGAGTTATGCTACCTTTTCTTTTATTGATGAACAATGAATAGTCAACATTACACAAGATGAAGCCATCTTCCTTCATCCCTCCTTAGAAGCTTTCAAACCAAGCCCTTGGGGTGTGATTGAACCATATATTGCTTTCTTTAGCTTATACGCATAATGAGGAAATCTGTTGCTCTTAAATCCTGGACATTGAGCCATATAAAGCTCCTCTAGCAAGGCCCCACAGAGAAATACATATTGTACATCTAGTTGGCACACTCCCATTTTTCTATTACAGCCCAGGGGAGACTAATTCTTATGGTGGCATATTTAGCCACAGGATTAAAGGTCTCATCATAGTCTAATCCATATTCCTGGTTATATCCTTGGGCCATCATAGTCTAATCCATATTCCTGGTTATATCCTTGGGCCATCATAGTCTAATCCATATTCCTGGTTATATCCTTGGGCCACCAGGCAAGCTTAAGATCTTTCGCCACTTCCATCTTGCTTGAGTTTCACTTTGTAGATCCATTTAGAACCTATCCCAAGGAAAAACTATTTCCAATGTAACATTTCGATATTAATCTCTTCATGCATAGCATCTATACAGCATGATCTTGACTTTTATCATCGAAAGGGATGCACTCCTTAATTTTAAATTCTTCTACCATAAAGGTTCCATGCTCATGGGAGAGTCCAGTGAAGGAGATGAATTCATCAATAATTTGATGACAAAATTTATTATTTGAATATCGCTATAACTGGTCCACGTCATTATCTACAAATAGATGATTCAAATCATCATAAAAATCTCTCTCATAGTCTCTGTTCCTGCTCGACTAAGACTCCAATGTGAGGGTAGTGGCTTGATTGGCAAGACTTTATGTATCACATTTTGAGCGGTTATGCATGGTATCAAGTCCCACGTGTCTGGCGCTGTTGAGGAAGAATGCCTCTAAGAATTTCCTCTGCCTCTATGGCGTGGAGAATAACCTCTACTGCGCCATGGATAGAAAGCTCTTGAAATTTGAGCAACGAAGGCTGATACTGCTGTATTGTTAATGATGATTTGAAATGGCATTTTGAATGAACATACTTTCACAGTTCAATAGAATAGGTTGCCATTTATATTCTCCTAGTACAATGATAATGTAAAATACTTAAACTTTATTGCTAAAACCCCATTGTATTGCTGCTAGTGTATCACATATTTCCTTGAAGGGATGAAAATAGTATGTGATAGACAACAAACCTATCCTGCAAATTTGAAGTTCAAGCTCAGCTGCATCTTTCTGGCCTTATTATTTTTCAGTATGGAGTCCTTCAAGAGTGATTCAAGCATCTCGAGCAGTAGGCAGATCAACAATATTGTACGTATATATAGAGAATTGGAGGCAAACAACCAGCTAACCACTAGCTGATCATGGGATATCCTTTGGGATGCTTAAGGGTGGTGGTTTCAACTTCATCAATTGACTTTTCTTAAATTTGGTCAGGTGGATAAGGATGTGACCCATCAAGACAGCTAGCCATGTTTTGGTTTTGAACGACTTGAAGAACTTGATTTTTCAACAAGAAATAATTGGGGTTATCCATTTTGATGGATAAAAGGGCAAACATTACTTCTATGGATTCTCATAATCTTTTCATGATTTAACTTTATTGAGAGTTAGAAGAAAGAAATTTCTTTTTACTTGCTCTCATTATTGTTCTAATTCCAAGATTTCAACCTCACTTGTGAAGGAGTAAATGTCGCTTGGCCAAGATAATGAAATCAGGGTTATTCATGTACATAGTTCTAATCAAATAGCTGACATTACAACCGAGGCACTTACCAGGAAGAAGTTCACTCTGTAGAACTAAGCTTTCTGTTGCATATTATAAAACACATTCCAATGCAAAAACTAAAAATTAACAGTCTTCTCCATAAAATAAATTCTTTCTTTTAACTCTCACTAAAGTTAAATCATGAAAAAATTATGACAACATCCAGAAAGCAAGAGAAATTTCAACCACGAGATTCCCAAAACAAAAACCAATTAGTGAAGTCTTACCCATAAAAAAGAATTTTCCCAAAGCGGACAGTCAGTAAAAGCTTTAATTCTTCAGACATCGCAAAAGCCATTTGGCTTTTTACAGTTTGGAAAGCAGAAATTAGGTCCGGTTGTATCTTCTCTGCAACGTGTAACCAAGGCTCCAAAGTCGTATTGTGTCCACTTTCTTCCTTAGCTACAAGAGAGAAATAATTAAACTAATCAATCACACTATATTGTAACAGGATTCAAAGAAAATAAGCACACAAATAGAAGAAGTCAAACAAAGTATCAAAGCTGAGAACTCTTACCCACAATAGCAAGGGGCATTTTACCAGTTGTTTGTTCAACAAATCCACAAGGATATTGTTTCAAAGAAACTAATGGAGATTCTGATGATTGCATACCATGCGACATCCCAACATGCCACGATCTTGAAATGGAGTCCTTGGAGTATCTTTTGGGCATGTCACGTTTGAGATTCCCACTTGAATGACCGGAGGAACCAGCATACCATGTCCCCAAATTCAAACTCTCTTCCAATTGGGGAATGAGTGATGAAGGTGATGATGTTGAGTTCTCTGTATCCTTGGTGTTTCTTTTATGTGGTGGGATATAATATGCCATGACGATATCACGGGTTCTACAATATCCAGAAATTTGATTTCAGGCCAAAAAGATTACTCGAAACTTGAAACAAGAGACAAACAGATTGTAAATTAATGGTTTCTTTCCCAGACCATAATTTCAATATTCACGTGCGTTTGCCAAGAAATTACCAGGGTGGAGTTCAGAAATGATCATTGATTTCAAGGAAAAACAATTATATTCAATAACAATGTAGTTTAAATTATGATGCATTTTAAATAGCATCAATCTTCAAGGACAAGTAGCGGCATTCAGTGAATATCTTGAAGTAGGGAATCAATCAAGGCAATCAAATGCTACAATATCTGGGAAACAATCTGTTGACACATTTGAAAACAGCCTTAAAGGCAAAATGGTGTTTGTTGATCCACCTAGGCCTACAATATTCACATCTATTGACTGTCAAGAAGTGGAACAATTACAAGAATGAAGCCAAACAAAAAAAAATGATCTCTGGGCTCTTGTTTCAAAATCCAAAGCAACAAAGACTGAATACAAGCCCACCAATGCATCAAGAAACCTTCAAACATAAAACGAAGTTACCAGAACCCAAAACCGCTCAGACCAGAACGAACTTACTCAGGAGAAAAAGAACAAGAATTCTTGTAAAAAAAGAGAAAGAATAAGAATTATAGGCATAAAGTAAAAGAGCAACAAATAGATATCGAAAGATAGTTCCAAATCGGAAACCATGATTACAAACGCTATAAAATGTGATGGAAACAAATTGGAAAGTAATTAATGATGAATTCAGAGTTCTTGAACTGGACAATAGAGAAAAAATGAATTCCAAACCTGACCAACTTCTCCGAAGATCGAGGTCACTGCAAAACCAAATTTCCACAATGTAACATAAATCATATTGGATTGATATCACTACAAGAAGTGGCAATTCAAGCTAAAAAATAAGGCTCAAGAAGAAGCAGTTGCTCGAACCAGAGCAAGCAAGAAACAGAGATTGTTGCTCTCGAAGCCTTTGCCTTTACAGTCGATCAAAGTGATACTTTTACTTAGATGATTATATGCTTCAGGGGAGCATGGTATTTATTATGCGCCTCCAATGGTGTTTCAAACTCAGGCACTGTGGTTCCTGCGCCCTTTTTTGTTATTGAGCACGCAAGCTTGGTCGATCGCGCGAATGCCCAAATAGAACATGGGAACACACTGTGTAACATCCTTTTAACTTCCAAATCTTGAGAGCGTTTTTCTCGTTTATGGCGACGTTTAAAAAAGGGCAAATTACAAAAAGAACGCCAGACCACACTTTCTTTCTATGCAACTTGCCAAAAAAATCGGTCGAAACTTTCTATGAAATTTATTCCCAACCTAAGATTTTCTCTCATTTTTTTCCAAAAATCAAATACTCCCCCCCCGCCCCCCCAAAAAAAGCAGAACTAAATAAAAATCAATGTCTAAACTAGCGTCCTTTTTACTTCACCTTTTTTACCGACATTTCTCCTCTCTCTCTCTCTCTCTCTCGTTTTTTAACCGCAGCTTCTTTCTCTTTCTCTCTCGCTCTATCTCCCGGCCCAAGCCTCCCTCCTCTCGCTTTCTCCCCTGGCCCGACCTCCCTCTCTCTCGCTTTCTCTCATGGCCCGACCTCGCTCTCTCGCGCTCTCTCTCTCTACCCAAGCTCTCTCCCTCTCCCTGTGCAAAGGACTGAAGGCCCACCCTCTCTGTGAAATGGCTCGGGTCTCAATTTTTTCGCCCCAGCCCAAGCCCACAAAGGCCGAGCTCGAGTTTTACTGTTAATCTCTCAGCCCCATCAAATGTATGAAAGAGTTTTTTCAACCATTTCTTATTAAATAAATATATAGTACTTTATGGAATAAAATCACGAAAATCTATTGTTGGGTTATTGTTCGTTGAAATTTATTGTATTTAATCTATCATTGACAATGAAAGGATGGATTGTTCATAGTTTAAGAATTATTGAAGTTTTTCTTATGAATTCATTATGGAGTTTGGTTTTTTTTTTCCGTTGCCATTTTAGGCCTAGAATGATCTTGGAGGTAGGAAATTTTGGGTGGTTTTTAGATTGAAAATTATTCAGTCGTTTAATCTAAATTGATTGCTCATGGCCTATGAATTATTGAAGTTTTTCTTTTGAGTTTGTTATGGAGTTTGGCTTTTTTTCTTTATTGTCTATTGTCATTCTAGGGCTAGAATGTTCGGTAGGAAATTTTGGGATTTTTTTAGATTGAAAATCATTAAGTCATTTGATCTCAATTGATTGCTCATAGCTTAAGAATTATGGTAATTTTTCTTATTAAATTATTATGGAGCTTATCATTTTTTCTCTATTGTGATTTTAGGGTTTGAATGTTCTTGGTTGTAGTAAATTTTGGGTTTGTTTTGCTGTATTTGTTTTCTCTTTGTTATCTTTCCATTAATTGTTTCTTATTTGATGATCCATCCTATTTCTCTTGTTCAAAATTTAGTTTGTCATTAAAAAAAAATGGCTAGCTCTTGTTAATTTTAGTAGTAGTTCTTTTAAAAAAAAAAAACCCAAAAAGCAGGCTTTAGGATGGTCTATATTGCATGTTTATCTTAAAAATTGGGTCATCTTTTGAGGATCTTTATTTCAAGACTATTTTCCATAAATTACAAAAAAATCTAGACATTAACAGGATAAAATCATTAAGATTGCAGTATTCAGATAATCCTTGTTAGAAATATTTTTGTAGGTTTATGTACCCACCAACAATATGCTTACCTACCTCTTATTAAAATTTAGTTGTAGCTATTTTAAAAAATTCTAGATTGAGGTTACCAAACTTGAGCAAGTTCAATGTGTGGAGTACAAATTATTACAAATCTTGTGCATGGCAAAATAAAATGAGTGATAGCAGATTGATTTATTGTATATTTTGTGGAGAACTACAATCAAATGTCGATGAGACTTTAGATTATATTGGTGGCGATGCATGTACATTTATGATTGACAGTAAAACTAGGTTAGATGACTTGCGAAAATATGTAGCAGAGCATTTTGAAAGTGGATGCAAAGACTAGAGCAAATTTTCAAGTCGAAAAACAAGGCAAAATGGACACCTTTAACAAGCCACTTGCAAAAAACCAAGTTAAGTGAATAAGTTACAATCTTTTTACATAACAATTATAACCATTTCTAGCCTTGTATAACCACTGTAAATAAATTTAAATACCGACTCCTTATGGGGCAATTACATATAAAGCAAGACTAGCTTATGAATTACACTTTCATAGCACACATTATATAAACTATGTCCCAAAGCTTAAACACATCATGCAACTAATCTAAACAAAATTCTAAAGAATAAAATCAACTAAACAGTGAATTAGAATGCCAAATTGAAATAGAAAAGCCATGTTTTGAACCCCTTGTATTAGGGCCATACAATCGGGCCCTATAAGGACTTAATTTTGTCCTTTCGGATTGTACAAAAGTAGTTCAATCTTACAAGAGTGTCTAATCCAAATGGAAAGAAATTATATACCTTAAAATCACTTCTTAATATCTCAACACACTGGCATTATCATCCAAAACAGAGTGAAAAAGGTTTGAATCGAATTGGATAAAGAACAAGAGTGTTATGGCCAAACTACATACGGTGGTCCTTCGGACCACCAAAAGGGCTTGTATGGAAAGATTATGAACCCCCATAGATAAAAACGTAATGAAAAAGTTCTGAAAATGGGATGACACTCTAAGACTAAATTATTTGATGGGGATGAAGCAAAATAATCAATGGATACTATGCATGATCATGGATTCTTATGTATATAGGCTATAACTCATGAAGGACCACACTATGAATAAGCATGATGACAAAGATGATCAAATGAGGATTCTAAGATCAATGAAACATTTCTAAATTCAAAACTCTAGCAATTATAGATGCCAAGGATATGATCTTATGAGAAAAGAAAATTCAATGGAGTTTACCTTGATAAATGCACACTATGGACTTAAGCGTAATAAAGGAGGACCATTATCAAGATCACCATTAATGGAACTCTAAAAACTCTCTCTCTTCAATTTTCTCTCACAAAACCTTAGAAGAATGAAGAGAGCAACTATTTTCCAAAATGGTTCAAGAGTTGAGATAGTTAGGGTTTAAGATCTCACGATATGCTTTTGTAACATGGGTGTAATTTTGGATTAAATTAACACGCTTGATGCACTAATCCAAAGGCACATAAGAGGTAAATGTACTTAGCCACCCATCCCCATCCAACCACTAGGATGAAGGGATGAGATTTCACACTATTATCACTCACCCTAACCCTAAGTTATGTCTCTTTACCATTTTGTCCTTGGCTCATGTTTTTGTTCCAATTGTATCTAATATGGCCTTACAAAAATACCCTTAGTTTTTTTTAATAATGTATTAGATTAGATAACTATAAAGGCTAAAGGGCAAAGAAGTAATTGGTAAAGTACACATATGTAGAGATATTCTACTTTATTAAAGCCAATCACTTTATAGATCTAAAATTTCAAACCAATCAATTTAAAGATAATGTCCCCTTCACCTAAGTGAGTGAAGATATTTTTCAACTCAAATTTGAAAATGTATTTTCTCTTTAATATCAAATAAATTAATTAATTAAACTTCATACAAGCCATGCATGACCCATTTGTGAGTTAATTAAGACATGTGATAAAAAATAGGCTTTAATTTATAACATTATATTACAAAATATAACAATATATAATAAGACACCATAACACAACCCCTTATAAAACAAGCAACCAAATGACAATCTAGTCCCTCGCCTAGGGATCAGAGCCCAACTGGGCGGTGATCCTAGAGTGAGATGGGGGTGCCATGTGGCGGCTCTATGGCCACTTGGACGCGACATGGTACTAAATTTGAGCCAAACAATATGAAAACCCTCATTTTTTTAGCAAATAAAATTCCAAACAATTCTCTAAAATTCACAATAAATATTTCAAGTATTTTTTAGCAGTTTTTAGTTTTTTTTCATCATTATAAAATCAGAAAAAAGGTATAGTGAGATCTCAAGCTTAATAACTATAGGTATAAGAGTACTCCATTGGGCTAGTCCCGATTAATGTTCCGTCGAGTCTCAGATCGACCCAATAAACCTATGTTCCATAGACTAAAGAAGGATACATAATTGCCAATATCAAAGCCACTGAGCCAGAACTTCCGATCATTTGACTCTTAATGGATTACAAGTGTACCCCTATGAGACATGATCTAACACACTTATAGGGGTCCTCTCAAAGCACATGTGCACTAACTCTTCGAAACTCGGATAATGCATTTGGAAGAGTGGCTTCCGGTACGAAATAAAAATGCACATGCCATGCAATGGTCTCATGTCAGAATATGGACTTATGTCTCATAAGTCTTGACCATTCCATACAGGGCGAATACTCAATAAGTACTCGGGTTCTATTTATCTCATTTGGATTATCCAAGCCCTAGCCGATTGCACCTAAACATGAAGCTAACCTATAAAATCGTGACTAGGAAGTGACCCTCACATCTCCTTAAGAAATTGTTTTCTAAACACGTGAACTATCGATGCCTCATGTGTACTTGGGGTAAAAGAATCTAGGCTCCATTTTGCAAGACGTCAAGATTTCAATCTCTCAATCGCTTCCACTGAATGAGAAACTACTGGAATTTAGGCCTTGATAGGCCATATTTCCAACATTCTCCCACTTGGCCTTTTGAGGCCTGAATTCGTATATATCTATCTCTCATTATCGCTCACAATAAATCAAAGCATGCATATTTACCCTGGATTTATCATTCATAAGCAATAGACGAAGTAATAACAACTATGTCAACCTTTTTAAACTCATCCCATGCACATGCCTCATAGAATCATTTGTCCCCAAGCTTTTGGTTAATGGATCTGTATGCGTAGCCTCAGATAGAATGTAACCAACTTCTACTTCACCAGCTGCTATCTCTTCTCTTACTCTATGATATTGAGGTTTAATGTGCCTTGACTTGCTATGGAACCTTGGTTCAACTACCACTACTATTGTAGCTTGATTGTCACACATGATTCTAATAGTTCCTTGTTTTAGAGGGTTGAAGTTAAGATGATTCAATGACTTCTTAATCCAAATGGCTTCTAAAGTTGCGGAACTTAAAGTCATATACTCAGCTTCCATGGAGGATAATGTTACAATGTCACGTTTCTTGGTGCGCCAAGAATGACACCACCGCGATAAAGAAATAGATAACCCGAAGTGGATCTCGAGTCATCCGGGTCTCCTTGATTGTCGGAGTCTGTGTATCCCAAAACTTTAAGCTCACTCACATTGCCATAGGTTAATCCATAAGCAAATGTTCCTTTCAAATACCTCATGATTCTTTTTACGGCTT